GTCACGTGGTGTCCCACTCAAGAAATTTGTGGATAATAAATTATGTCTCCACGGACCGAACTGGCTCTCTAATGAAAACAACTGGTCTCAGCAAAAAGCTCACATTATGCCAAAAGAAATATTCTACTTAAAAGCAGCAGAAATAATCTGCTTAAGTATATCAGACACACCAGAAATAGTCATTGATGGATCTAAATACTCATCTTTGGGTAAACTCTTAAGAGTTACAGCTCTTGTCTTTAAATTCATTAAAGGAACAAAGACTAATTATGAACGTTCTGAACCCATTAAATACTGGGTGAAACAAATACAGAAAAATATCTTCTCTACAGAGTACAAGTTTCTGGAAACACAAGATAAATCCTCAAAGAAACCTGATATGATTAATTCTTTACGACTTTATCTCGACTCAGAAAATATTATAAGGATGTCGAGGAAGAATTCATAATTCTTAATTACCTAAAGAAGTCATACATCCAATATTGATCCCCAAGAATCATTGGCTAACGAACCTGATTGTGCAAAACGCCCACAGTAACGTGTTACATGGTGGTAGCTGACACACTTTGTCACATACAACAATCCTACTGGATACCTCAAGGTCGGCAAAGCGTGAAAAAACAAATAAGGGACTGTATTACATGTCGTCGCTATGATATGCGAGTATGTCGGTATCCAGGTCCACCTCCACATCCCGCTGAGCGAGTACGTCATGTCACTCCATTTGAGGTGACAGGTGTAGATTACACTGGACCAATAATTTTCAACTAATACAATTGACAAAGTTCCCATCAAGGTGTACATCTGTTTGTTCACTTGTGCTACAACTAGAGCAGTACATCTAGAAGTAGCCACTGACATGTCTGCTGAAACCTTTATCAAACTATTCAGGTTTGGAGCCAGAAGAAGGGCATGTCCCAGACATAATTTCAGATAATGCAACGAACTTTGTTGCTGGTGCTGCATATATAACCAAGATCTTTGATCAACCAGAAGTACAACAGATGCTGAATCAACGCAGTTGTCGTTGGAGATACATTCCTCCTAAATTCCCATGGCACGGCGGATTTTATGAAAGAATGATACACATCGTTAAACGTTTTTTAAGGAAGACTTCATCGTCAGCGAATCGACTTAGAATAATTTCGAACAGTCGTAACTGATCTGGACAAATTAGAAGTGTTAAATCCATCTCATTTACTCCACGGCAGAAGGCTCGAACCAGTTCCTCCCATGAATGATAAAGAAATCATGGATCCTACTTATCTCGAACCTGAGCAACTCAGATGTAAATTTAAACACCTTAATAAAGTAACTTAACATTGGGAGAAAAAATTAGCGAGAAGACTCTCTCACATCACTGAGAGAACACTTCTATGGAGCTGGTGTTCCTGAAAATCATGCGTCGTTAAGACCTGGTAACAGTGATTATTGACAATAATGGTCCAAGGTCTCAATGGCCTCTTGAAAAAATAGTGACCATATATCCTGATGCAAATGGAACCATCAGGACAGTTGAAGTTTTGAGCAAAGGTGTAGTGAATAAGCGGATAATAGATAAACTAGTGCCGTTAGAATTACAGTGTTGAAAACAAACTTAATGACTCACGAAATCGTAATGGCACGGTTGCAAACAAACGGTATGGAGTTTTGAGACTCTCTGATCGCGGGTTCTATCCCCATCCATGGTATGGCTTTTTTTTTTTTTAAACTTAGTGATTCTCCAGAAACCCCACAGACTAAAGTTGCTAAGAAAAGACAATCAGCAGTGGTGGTGAGTGGGAAAATCAAAGAATGTTAATAGATGAATAGTTCACCTACGGTGAACTTTCGCCCCCCGCCAGTGTGGAGAAAATTCTGCAGCAAAAGGGTAAGTAAGTAAGTAAGTAAGTAAGTAAGTTTATTCAGGTATACACAAATACAGTTACATAGAATTATCATACATAGCAGCATATGTGTAGAGAACCTGGGATAACCCAAAAAAGTCAGACAGAGTGACTTATTTCCATTGGGGTCCTTTTACCTTATTATTATAATATAAAGGTTATAATATTTTCTTATTATTCTACAATGAAGATAACATCTTATTATCATACTAAAAAGACTATCTACTACACGAGGGTCATTAAGACTATCTACAATACGAGGGTCATTACTAGGAATAAGGTAAAATTTACACGTATGTTAGATAAAAAATAGAAAATCATTCCCCTCCCTTTCTGTAGCTACATTCATCAGACACCTTTTGGCACTCTTCTTGAACTGGTTCATGCTATGACTGGCTTTGACATGTGTGGGCAGTCTGTTCCATTCCTTTATTGCTGTACAATAAGAGGTGTTTGAAGCCTGTCCAATTACTGTGGGTACTACAAAGTTGTGCTCTCTCCCCCTAGTACTATGATTGCTTTGGTTCCCAACCTTGACAAAATTGACAGCAAGATATTCTGGACACTGTTCGTGAGCAATTTTATAAACATGATTTAGCTTCAGTTGTTTTACTCTGTCTTCAACATTCAGCATATCCAACTGCTGTAATTCATCCTGGCCTACATGTTCTCTTGGTCCCAGCCCCAGGATGAATCTTACGATTTTGTTCTGGGTGATTTGCAGTCTATCTTTCAGTTTTTTTGTCAAGGCAGAGTACCAAGAAGAGCAAGCGTAATCCATATAGCATTGTATAAGGGCTAGACATAGGGTCCTGCGAGCCTCAGTAGGTAGACACTGTGCTTGTCTATACAGGAACTTCAGTCTGGCATTCGCTTTCTTTACTACACTGTTCCCTATCAATTCTCCTGACATGCATGGGTCAAAGGGGATTCCCAAATATTTTACTGATGAAACCAAAGTGATGGGCTCCCCATTACATTGAACATTAAAGTTATTTACCCTTCTCAGTTTATGTTTCGTGCCAAAGAGAATGGCTTCAGTTTTCCCTAGGTGTAATGATAGTTTGTTGTCTACTAACCATTTGCTGCAGGACTCCAGTTCCAGTGTTAAAACATTAGCAATATCTTGTGGGTCTTTACCTGACACTAACAGAGCACTGTCATGTGCATACAGTAGGAGTTTGCACTTGACACTGATAGGCATATCATTGACATAAGATAAGAATAATAAGGGACCCAGAATACTACCTTGGGGAACTCCACATGTTATCGGCAGGGGTTCTGATTCTGTTTTGTTGATTTTGACTATTTGTCTCCTGTTGCTAAGGTAGGACTTAAACCAGTCTACAGAACCTATACCGATAGCTTGAAGTTTATTACATAATATATTGTGGTTGACAGTATCGAAGGCCTTTTGCAGGTCTAAGGTTACCATACCTATGAGGTTCCCCTTTGACATTTCAGTTCTCAGGTAATCCATCAGATTAATAAGGGAGGTGTCGGTTGAGTAGGATCTTCTAAAGCCCGATTGATAGCTATGGAGAATGTTGTTGTCATTAAGGTACTTAACTACTTGAGAATACACCGCCCTCTCTAGAATTTTAGATATTATACTGAGTATACTAACAGGCCTACAGTTGCTTACATCAGACCTACTATTTTTCTTGAAGATAGGAGTAACTCTGGCCTCCTTGAACCCCTCCGGTACGGTATTAGTGGTGATTGATAGATTTATTATGTGAGCAATAGGGATTGACAGTTCAGAAGCACCATCTTTTAGGAACTTAGACGGGATGTTATCAGGGCCTGTGCTCTCAGTTGGGTTTAACCTGCTTAGTTCTTTTTGAATAAAGTCATGAGATACACTTACTAGTTGACAACTGTTTGGGGTTACCCCTTTATTGGTATAGTATGTTTGAAACTTATCAGAGTCTGTGTTAAAGGTATTTGATGCAGCTGGTAGTTTACTTACTAGTGTTGATGCAAGGGGGTATCTCTCAGCCCCCCTCAGCCCTCTGAGGTACTTAACCCTACCAGAAGGGGCTAATGGACTCTTACTTCCTCAAAAACAGATTAACTGAATACGTATTTTCGTAAAAGCAACACGAGACAGAAGGGCGTTGCCTCCTTATCGAACAAAAGACAAAGAGACAGTAGTGACCAGTGCGTTCTTGACTCTTGTTCATTCTGACAGTCTCAGGAAACTAGGAAAGTTAGACTAGTTCTCTTATATAAGCTAGGAAGTTCGTGGTAGAACTAATCATGCAGTGTTATTGTGTATCCGTGTTATTCTTGCAGTGGATAATTCCACGAAACTATGAACAAAGGATGGCACTGAATGACGTGTATAACCATGCGAGTGATTGCAATGAACATTTCCGATGTGTTGTGACAAACTCAAGTGCAACATTCTCCGTGTGACACCTCAACATTCATCCACAAGACATCATTCTATGCCTAAGTGGTGCAGTCAACACCACACGCTCACGTTACACGAGCAAGGTAAGCCCTAATCTTGCTTGTAGAGCCTATTAACTACTGCAGTTTTTTGGCGGACACATGGTCATTAGGGCTGCCCTATTCTAGACCGTAATATGCAAGCCATCCACAAAACTCAGGCGAGTAGCGTAACACACTCCAGTAAATTAATATACTGGAAAATATGTATGTTAGGTTCTTAACCTTAACTATACTCGTCATTCTACAGCTCAGAGATGTGACTACCACGATTCAAGCGAAGGAGACTTCTTGAATGCGGCTGCAAGAAGTCGGAATCATCACTGAAGCTAAGTATATTTCAGTTTATGTCGGAAGGTAGATTTGGCTGGTAAAAATCCCATTAAGCTACTAGCAACTTTCTATCTGCTAACATACACTGACCAGCTACTAGCAACGTTCTACCTGTTGACATACACTGATCACGTGACTACAAGCAACATACAACCTATTCACAAACACTGAAGGTTATGTATCAGCTAAAACACAGTAGCTGAGCAGGTAACGTCATTGTTCCTATACAACTGTAATTTTCTTGCTGGAGGTGACGAGCCTCAGGTACTCTCCTGCTGGCTCCACCTCGTCCATATCTCCTGCAGCTGAACCAGAGGAATCTCGCCTCTTCTTCCTGCTTCTGGCACCAGAAATGGCACCTATGGTGGCAGCAACAGAGGCAACAGAAGTGGCACCCACAGTGGCACCACCACCACTGGCATTAATAATAATGGAACTGGACAGGTCATCAAGTAACACTACTGACTGAGGTCTGCTACCTCGTTCCCTGTCGCCAATTCTTCCTCCTGCTCCTGCTCCTGCTCCTGCTCCTGCTCCTGCTCCTGCTTCCTAGCTTCGTTCATCCAGCTGTTGCTTATATGATTGCTGTGAGACTAACTTCGTCCCAGGGAAGGTGGCCTCGCCAGCTGGTCCTTCAGGCACTCCCTCATAGATGGTCATCTTGCCTGACATCGAGTGAGCTACGCCGTTCATGCTGCTCGGTCTGCGATGATAAATAAACACTATTAAAACTCCCTTAATGTAGAGAAAAAGAGTAACATTTCAAAGTAAAAACAGGAGACGGAGGATCAAGCCTCCACTACGTCTTACGCTGAATGACCCACACGGGCTTAGCGCTTAACATAAATTATTATTATTATTATTATTACTATTATTATTATTTTTAAAGCATTTCTCTCAGTCGTCAATGAAATTTTTAGGATTTATATCACAGACGAAGTCAAAATACAGTGGACCCCCGCTTAACGATCGCCTCCAAATGCGACCAATTATGTAAGTGTATTTATGTAAGTGCGTTTGTACGTGTATGTTTGGGGGTCTGAAATGGACTAATCTACTTCACAATATTCCTTATGGGAAAAAATTCGGTCAGTACTGGCACCTGAACATACTACTGGAATGAAAAAAGTTCGTTAAACCGGGGTCCACGTTTTGAAACACTTGGTTCGTCACATAAGTCGACCCATCTTCCACAGTCTCAATACTTTATCAAGTCTCATTACCTCCCATTCCCCGGGTACTGTGCGACCCTTGCCAGTTTAGCGCTTCCCCGTGAACATAATATGTGGATCGGAAGTCACGGTGTTGAAAAGTCTGTGTAATGCAGAAATTGAGTAGCGTCAGCTTATGCTGACACATATAGCAGTGTCAGCTTCTGCTCACACAGATCTGCTGACACAGAGCAGTGACAGCTAGTGTTGACACTGATGAGTGTCAGCTTGTGGTGACACTGATGAGTGTCAGCTTGTGGTGACACTGATGAGTGTCAGCTTGTGGTGACACTGATGAGTGTCAGCTTTTGGGGGACACTGATGAGTGTCAGCTTGTGGTGACACTGATGAGTGTCAGCTTGTGGTGACACTGATGAGTGTCAGCTTGTGGTGACACTGATGAGTGTCAGCTTGTGGTGACACTGATGAGTGTCAGCTTGTGGTGACACTGATGAGTGTCAGCTTGTGGTGACACTGATCAGTGTCAGCTTGTGGTGACACTGATCATGTCAGCTTGTGGTGACACTGATGAGTGTCAGTTTGTGGTGACACTGATGAGTGTCCCGCTTGTGGTGACACTGATGAGTGTCAGCTTGTGGTGACACTGATCAGTGTCAGCTGTGGTGACCCCTGATCAGTGTCAGCTTTGTGTGACACTGACATGTCAAACTTGAGGTTTAACTGATCATGTCAGCCTTGTGGTGACACTGATGATGTCAGCTTGTGTGACACTGATCAGTGTCAGCTTGTGGTGACACTGATGAGTGTCAAGCTTGTGGTGACAAGTGATCAGTTTTCAGCTTGTGGTGACAAAATGATCATGTCAGCTTGTGGTGACACTGATGATGAGTGTCACTTGTGGTGACTTGATGATGTCAGCTTGTGGTGACACTGATTTAGTTCAGCTTGTGGTGACACTGAAGAGTGTCAGCTTGTGGTGAAAACTGATCATTGTCAGCTTGTGGTGACACTGATGAGTGTCAGCTGTGGTGTCACTGATCAGTGTCAGCTTGTGGTGACACTGATGGTTCAGCTTTGGTGACACTGATCAGTGTCAGCTTGTGGTTTACACTGATGATGCAGCTTGTGGTGACACTTTATCAGTGTCAGCTTGTGGTGACACTGATGAGTGTCACTTTTGGTGAACTGACATTGTCAGTCTAGTGGTGACACTGATGAGTGTTTAGCTTGTGGTTGACACTGATCAGTGTCAGCTTGTGTTGACACTGATGAGTGTCAGCTTGTGGTGACACTGATCATGTCAGCCTGTGGTGACACTGATGAGTTGTCACTTTTGGTTAAACTGATCAGTGTCAGCTTGTGTGACACTGAAGAGTGTCAGCTTGTGGTGACACTGATGAGTGTCAGCTTGTGGTGACACTGATGAGTGTCAGCTTGTGGTGACACTGATGAGTGTCAGCTTGTGGTTACACTGATCAGTGTCAGCCTGTGCTGACGCAACGTCTTGCTCAACGAGAGCTTTATAAAGCTTTGTTTATGACTTGATAAAGCTCTTATTTTATATCATATAAATAGGTCTCCTGGACCCATTTGTTCTCTAATACAGACTTGATCATGTTCAAGGTGTCTAACTAAGACTTGATCATGTTCAAGGTGTCTAACTAAGACTTGATCATGTTCAAGGTGTCTAACTAAGACTTGATCATGTTCAAGGTGTCTAAACTAAGACTTGATCATGTTCAAGGTGTCTAACTAAGACTTGATCATGTTCAAGGTGTCTAACTAAGACTTGATCATGTTCAAGGTGTCTAACTAAGACTTGATCATGTTCAAGGTGTCTAACTAAGACTTGATCATGTTCAAGGTGTCTAACTAAGACTTGATCATGTTCAAGGTGTCTAACTAAGACTTGATCATGTTCAAGGTGTCTAACTAAGACTTGATCATGTTCAAGGTGTCTAACTAAGACTTGATCATGTTCAAGGTGTCTAACTAAGACTTGATCATGTTCAAGGTGTCTAACTAAGACTTGATCATGTTCAAGGTGTCTAACTAAGACTTGATCATGTTCAAGGTGTCTAACTAAGACTTGATCATGTTCAAGGTGTCTAACTAAGACTTGATCATGTTCAAGGTGTCTAACTAAGACTTGATCATGTTCAAGGTGTCTAACTAAGACTTGATCATGTTCAAGGTGTCTAACTAAGACTTGATCATGTGCAAGGTGTCTAACTAAGACTTGATCTTACTCTAAGTACCTAATAAAGACCATATCTTGCTCTAAGTGCTCGAAATATGAGAGAGGGTTAATGACGGAGCATACTGACTGCTGAGGGCAGCAGGTACAGTAGTCTGCGAGCGTCCAGTGTTTGCCGAAGTCCTCGCCCTCCTGCAGCGTCTGTGGCAGGTGCTGGTGCAGCGTCTCCGGCAGCAGCAGGGAGAAGACTCCCCCGAGGTTGAGCAGGATGCCCATGATGATCAGCGGCAGCACCATCATCTCTGACCCCTGCAAAGACTCTGCTCATCAGCGGCTCCGTCACCAACATATCAGAGAAAATGCGCAGGAAGGGAAATGAACACTCTGTATTAAGGAGTTCTTTCACACCGAGATGTTCTGATAACTCACATTAACGTGAATGATTCATCTGAGGCAGTCCACAGGTTCATGCTGAGAGGGCCTCCAGTTGACCGAATGTTCACGTATTCTATCGGCTGAATGTGAGTTATTTTGGATACATTACCTCACACGGTGTAGTGGAGGTTCGATGACCGAACCTCCACTACACAACCTGTACATAACACCAGCTTCATCAAACCTCCACCATACAACCCGTACATAACACCAGCTTCATCAAACCTCCACCATACAACCCGTACATAACAACAGCTTCATCAAACCTCTACCATACAGCCGTATATAACAACCAGCTTCATCAAACCTCCACCACACAACCCGTACATAACACCAGGTTCATCAAACCTCCACCATACAACCCGTACATAACACTAGTGTACCCACATGTCTTACCATGTCATGTCTTACCAAGTAGTTGATGAGCGGGATGACGATGGGGCCAACCATACCCGCCACGGCTGAGACAGAGAGACCCATGCCCCTCACCACCGTCGGGTACAGCTCAGAGGCCATCAGTGGCAGCACCACGAAGGAAGAAGAGATGCCAAACTTGCCCACACAGTAAAGGACCAGTGTCACCACGGGGTCTGGCACCAAGAAAACAATGTGAGTAGTAAGAATGAACGTAAATCACTAGGAAAAACACCAAGACAAGATACACAGGCACACACACACACACACACACACACATTGACACGTATAATATGCAAAGTCATGGAGAGGATTATCAGGAGGTGAGTGGTGGAGCACCTAAAAAGGAATGAGCTTATCAACGACAGCCAGCACGGTCACAAACTCCTGGAGTTCTATGACAGGGTGACAGCAGTAAGACAAGAGAGAGAGGGGTGGGTAGATTGCATTTTCTTGGACTGTAAGAAGGCGTTTGACACAGTTCCTTACAAGAGATTAGTGCAAAAGCTAGAGATTCAGGCAGGGATAACAGGGAAGGTACTGCAATGGGTCAGGGAATACCTGTCAGGAAGACAACAGGGTGTCATGGTACGTGATGAGGTGTCAGAGTGGGCGCCTGTGACGAGCGGGGTTCCACAGGGGTCAGTCCTAGGACCAGTGCTGTTTCTGGTATTTGTGAACGACATGACGGAAGGAATAAACTCTGAAGTGTCCCTGTTTGCAGATGATGTGAAGTTGATGAGAAGAATCCAGTCCCAAGAAGATCAGGCAGAAGATTGGGGAAGAGAAAAGAAGGCCGCAGACGGAGTACAGTCCAGGGAGCCAGAGACTAGAAACGTCACTCAGGGAAAGGATCTTAGAGTGATATAACACCAGGCACATCTCCTGACGCGCACATCAAGCAAATAACTGCTGCAGCATATACCTGGAGGTTACCTGGAGGTTATTCCGGGGATCAACGCCCCAGCGGCCCGGTCCATGACCAGGCCTCCCGATGGATCAGGGCCTGATCAACTAGGCTGTTACTGCTGGCCGCACGGAGTCCAACGTACGAGCCACAGCCCGGCTGATCCGGCACTGACTTTAGATATCTGTCCAGCTCTCTCTTGAAGGCAGCCAGGGGTTTATTGGCAATTCCCCTAATGCTTGATGGGCGCCTAGCAAACCTAAGAACAACATTCCAACATCTTAATAAGGAATAGTTCAGGACCCTGTATACTGTGTATGTTAGGCCCATATTGGAGTATGTAGCACCAGTTTGGAACCCACACCTAGCCAAGCACGTAAGGAAACTACAGAAAGTGCAAAGGCTTGCAGCAAGACAAGTCTCGGAGCTAAGGGGTACGTCTTACGAGGAGAGGTTAAGGGAAATCGACCAGACGACACTGGAGGACAGGAGAGATAGGGAGAATATCATAGCGACATATAAAATACTGAGAGGAATTGACAAGGTGGACAGAGGCAGAATGTTCCAGAGATGGGATACAGCAACAAGGGGTCACAGTTGGAAGTTGAAGACTCAGATGAGTCACAGGGATGTTAGGAAGTATTTCTTCAGACACAGAGTGCTAGGAAGTGGAACAGTCTGGGAAGTGATGTAGCGGAGGCAGGATCCATACATAGCTTTAAGAAGAGGTATGATAAAGCTCAATGAGCAGGAAGAGTGACCAGGAGCTTTGAATCAACCCCTGCAACCACATATACACATTCAATGCTAAATCAGACGATAGTTATACAGGAATAACTAATCATAAGACAGAATTCGGTCAGGTGCAGCTAACACGGGATATTGCTGAGAATGTCAACAAAAGCGAGGAGAGGAAATGTCTGGAAGAAAATAAATCTAAGACTGAAAATAGTTTTACAGAGTTCACAAGAGGAAATACAGAATCAGGTGGTATTAGCTAAAGAATTCACTGCTAGAACCTATATTAGTCAAGAAATTTTAGAAGAAGATTGAAAATAACTCTAAGTCAGTGAGGGACGTTGTTAAATAGGTCATTAAATCACGAGTACATAAAATATATATATATATATAAATTATATGGGTTTAATTATAAAATTAACATTGAATTGTGGCATAAAGCTGAATGGGAAAATATAAAAAAAAGAAACAAGCATAGGTCTCTGAAAATAACATCCACACAGGTTACACATAAGGGAGAACTTTTTCAAAAAACGATAAAGACATCCAGGTACTGGAAGGTCCTAAGAATATACAAATTAGACAAAATCTTCCAAAGGAGGACAAGATAAAAATAATTTTTTTTATAAACACTTCTAGGAAGTTGAATGAGGGTAGAAGAGGGGAATAAAAATATTTTTTAGAGACACAAGACCAGACAAACCCAGCAAATGGTTTTCAAATAAACGACCACAAAATACATGAAGATCGTGTTCAGACAAATGGGAAAAAGGACATCAATGAGAATAATAGATTTTCGAAAATTTCTACACTAATATAAAGACAGAACAATCTCAAAAAGATAAGAACTTAGAAATATTATATATGACAAGACACCTGATATGGTTTGCCTAACTGAAACCAAAATGGAAAAATAAAATGATTAAAAGAGTTTGTATTTTAGTATGGAGAAGAGACAATGTAGAGGAGAAAGTGGGAAGATTGATAATATTGGTAAAAGAATCTTCTCAAGTTATGGAAATTGAGATCCAAAATACTGGAAATGTTGAAATTTTAGAAACAACAGTACGAAAAAAGACGAGAAACTCTTAGTAAATGTATTTAAGCCACCACTAAATAATACCTGGGAAAGAGAGGAGTTCAGAAGGATAACAAGGGATTACCTAACATACTTAGTAAACTGGTAATGAAAAGTGAATGCCATAAGTAAAATGTTATTGTACCTGGAGGTTTTAACTCGAAAGAGAAAAAATGGGCAGCCTACGAGGCTGGAACTGCAAATAAATGATCAATAGATTATCTAAATATATAATAGGGTATATAAATGAAGCGATAAGCATGAGAGGCAGCAACACATCATCATCAGTGAGAGGCAGCAACACATCATCATCAGTGAGAGGCAGCAACACATTATCATCAGTGAGAGACAGCAACACATCATCATCAGTGAGAGGCAGCAACACATTATCATCAGTGAGAGGCAGCAACACATTATCATCAGTGAGAGACAGCAACACATCATCATCAGTGAGAGGCAGCAACACATTATCATCAGTGAGAGACAGCAACACACCATCATCAGTGAGAGGCAGCAACACATCATCATCAGTGAGAGGCAGCAACACATTATCATCAGTGAGAGGCAGCAACACACCATCATCAGTGAGAGGCAGCAACACATTATCATCAGTGAGAGGCAGCAACACATTATCATCAGTGAGAGGCAGCAACACACCATCATCAGTGAGAGGCAGAAACCCACATTATCATCAGTGAGAGGCAGCAACAATCATCACAGAGAGAGGCAGCAACACATTATCATCAGTGAAGACAGCAACACACCATCATCATGAGAGGCAGCAACACTTTATCATCATGAGAGGCAGCAACACATTATCATCATGAGAGGCAGCAACACACCATCATCAGTGAGAGGCAGCAACACATTATCATCAGTGAGAGGCAGCAACACATCATCATCAGAGAGAGGCAGCAACACATTATCATCAGTGAGAGGCAGCAACACATCATCATCAGTGAGAGACAGCAACACATCATCATCAGAGAGAGGCAGAAACAAAAATCATCATCAGTGAGAGACAGCAACACATCATAAATCAGTGAGAGGCAGCAACACACCATCATCAGTGAGAGGCAGCAACACATTATCATCAGTGAGAGGCAGCAACACATCACATCAGAGAGAGGCAGCAACCATTATCATCAGTGAGAGGCAGCAACACATCATCATCAGTGAGAGACAGCAACACATCATCATCAGAGAGAGGCAGCAACACATCATCATCAGTGAGAGGCAGCAACACACCATCATCAGTGAGAGGCAGCAACACATCATCATCAGTGAGAGGCAGCAACACATCATCATCAGTGAGAGGCAGCAACACATCATCATCAGTGAGAGGCAGCAACACATCATCATCAGAGAGAGGCAGCAACACATTATCATCAGTGAGAGGCAGCAACACATCATCATCAGTGAGAGACAGCAACACATCATCATCAGAGAGGGGCAGCAAACACATCATCATCAGTGAGAGGCAGCAACACATCATCATCAGTGAGAGGCAGCAACACATCATCATCAGAGAGAGGCAGCAACACATCATCATCAGTGAGAGGCAGCAACACATCATCTCAGAGAGGGGCAGCAACACACCATCATCAGGAAGGGCAGCAACACAACCATCATCAGCGAGAGGCAGAAACACATCATCATCAGCGAGAGGCAGAAACACACATCATCAGGAGAGGCAGAAAACACATCATAAATCAGTGAGAGGCAGCAACACATAAATCATCAGAGAGAGGCAGCAACAAAACCATCATCATGAGAGGCAGCAACACACCATCATCAGCGAAGGCAGAAACACATCATCATCAGTGAGAGGCAGCAACACTTCATCATCAGAGAAGGCAGCAACACACCATCATCAGTGAGAGGCAGCAACACACCACATCAGCGAGAGGCAGAAACACATCATCATCAGTGAGAGGCAGCAACACATCATCATCAGTGAGAGGCAGCAACACATCATCATCAGAGAGAGGCAGCAACACACCATCATCAGTGAGAGGCAGCAACACACCATCATCAGCGAGAGGCAGAAACACATCATCATCAGTGAGAGGCAGCAACACATCATCATCAGAGAGAGGCAGCAACACACCATCATCAGTGAGAGGCAGCAACACACCATCATCAGCGAGAGGCAGAAACACATCATCATCAGTGAGAGGCAGCAACACACCATCATCAGTGAGAGGCAGCAACACATCATCATCAGTGAGAGGCAGCAACACATCATCATCAGTGAGAGGCAGCAACACATCATCATCAGTGAGAGGCAGCAACACACCATCATCAGTGAGAGGCAGCAACACACCATCATCAGTGAGAGGCAGCAACACACCATCATCAAAAAGGAGGCCAAAAACACACCATCATCAGTGAAGGCAGCAACACACCATCATCAGTGAGAGGCAGCAACACATCATCATCAGTGAGAGGCA